AGTTTTGATGAAGCCAGTTACTCGGGCTTTCTTTTTCAGGTTGTTAACACCTTCAGAAATAGAAGATTGACTTTTTTTTTTAAACTTGAGAAGTGATGTCAGGGTCTGAATCCATCCAAGTTAAGTCTATTTAGAGTTAAGTCTATTAGGAGGGTTCTCAACCCTCCTAATACTGTGACCCTTTAATACCACATGTTGCGGTGACCCCCAATCATAAAATTATTTTTGTTGCTACTTCATAATTGTAATTTTGCTACTGTTATGAATTGTAAGGCAAATATCTGTGTTTTCTGATGGCCTTAGGCCACTCCTGTGAAAGGGTAATTCGACTGCCAAAGAGGTTGTGACCCACAGGTTGAGAAGCGCTGAATGAGAGACTTCAATGGGGTTAGATTTCTTTTTCCCTGTCTAAGAAATCTATGAGACGAGGTTTACTGTCAGCGTTTGCATAGGAGGAAGTGTTTAGAAGCGTCCAGTCTGGCCTTCTAGACCTGCTGAGGAGGGAGGCCTTCTGTCCCCCCCCCCCCAGTCCTCCCTCTTTGCTTAAAGCCTTCTGGGGGGACCCTGCCCAAGGTGCTGCATGGTTGACCGATCCCAGAGAAAGGCTGCATCATCAGCTCAGCTGCCTGCTCCCTCTGCTCTAAGGCCTGGGGACTGGGGACCACTCAGGCAAGAGGAAGGAGGGGACATAGCCTGGAGTCACACATGGCTGCATTTTGTATGGCAAGGCTCCCTTGTTTGTGCTTTCTTCCTATGGAAAAAAAAAAGCCCCTGGAAGGGGCCTGGGGAGCCAGATCAAATGTTCAAATGTACTGGCAGGGAGCCAAAGCTTGACTTCTCTGCCAGGAACTCCACGTTCTCAAGTCTTCGCTGCTGTTGAAACTGATAGGGAAGGTTAATGAGATTAATATGGCCAAACACTGTGGACTTCTGGGAAGCAAATGGCCAGGTAGTGAGGCTCAGTGTTGGAACAAGGGTCAGTCCATGGTGGCTGGAAACACTGAATGGAGCCGGCTCCTAATAATGTTTCATTGTTTTTACTGCACAATTCAGAAAGTGTTGTGCCCAGGGCTGGTGGAGGGAGTCTGACAGACCTCTGTGTCATTGGTGAAATGAATTGAATGCCCCGGTCAGTTCCCATCTCACCAGCTCTGTCCAGCACCTGCCACCTGCCCGGCTCCGAGGTGGCATTTTCTAGGTCTTTGTTATTCAGAAGAGACTTTGAGTGTTTGACAAAAAATGGTAAAATAACACAGTTATGGGGAAGAATATCCAACAGGGCATGGAACAGAAAGATGAGATATCTTTGTTGCTGGACATGCCTTGAATAGAAGACTTTTGAGCAAAAGGGGGGAAGATGGATCTGTGTGTGTGTGTGTGTGTGTGTGTGTGTGTGTGTGCGTGTGCATGTGTGTGCCTGCATGCATGTATTTATGAGTATTTTTAAAAATGATATATAAGTGGAAGGAAGAAGAAGTTTTGGTGAATCTATAAAATCGTCACAATTTATGAGAGTTTAAAAGGCAATTTCTTTTAAAGGGACAAATTCCTAATTTCCCACATAAAAGTATGGGAATTGAATGGTAAATCCTTCTCAGCTGACAAGTCCCCTGAAAGAGGCATGAAAAAGAGTTACTGTTCCCGTCCATTCATGCCTCCTGAAAGCCGTGGAGCACACAGCCCATGGAGCACACAGCCCATGGTTTCAAAGCTGCCGGATGACTTTTCAGAAATGATCTATTGTGGCGCTTTGTTTCGTGCGGGTCACCCTCGTTTTGTTCTGCCTGGGCTGTATTACTCTTCTGCCTCTGCCATTAATTCACCCTGTCTACCCCTCTCCATTCAGAGACACATTTCAGTCCCCGTCCCACAGAGAGCAGAGATGAACGAGACCTAGCATCTCCCCATTGCTGCAGAGGGTGACCACGGAAGAAAGAATGAAGGGAAGGGCCACTTGGGGATGCAGGCTGCAGGGGCTCACCTGGGGGGCGAGGATGCTCAGCAGGAAAAAGAGGGCCTATATGGGGAACCAGGGAGCAAATGGGAGTGTTGGGTGATGCCAGGGAAGAGGACTTGAGTGAGGTACCCAGCTGAGCAGCTTTTGGGACTCTGGCGGGGCGGGGCATCCTGGCCTCGCCCATGGGGTAGTGCCTTTATTTTTTCAGCTTTGGCTTGATCCACTCTCTCACAGTTCAGCGAGTACAGATTATGTGTAGCTCAAGGATTGGCAGGCTGGAACAAACTGTAAGAGATACAATAATTATTTTAAAGGAAAAAGATTAAGAAGGAAAATTAAAACCCAAACCTGTCATTTGGCTAGTAACTCAGCTTGTGTATGCACCCCCCCACCCCATCTCCTTGGAAACCTCATCCTATCTGATTTTATCCTAAAAATTGCTTCTCTTACACCTGTCTTCTGGGCTGTGTACTTCCAATAAAGTGGGAAGGGACTATCCAGGGGTCTTGAAAGATCCCAGGATCTCCTGGGCTACAGAGTGGTCACAAACATCCTCCAGTTAGTGGTTTAGTGACATCTATCCTTCGCCTTCCATGACCATGAGTTGCAGGTGTCCTGTCCATCTATCATGGAGGAACCACAGACAATGGAGTGCATGGGCGAAAGAGGGGACTCCGAAGTCTTTCCCACCAGTCATTTAATTTCCTTTACAACTGGTCCAGCGGCTTCCCACTTACCTGGGGTCTAGGATGCTCGGCTGTGATATCCTGGAGAGGACAAGAAGCAGCCACCACCACAGATCCCGTGCCCTATGTGCTTACTATGGATAACCAGTAGGCAGAATGACAGACAGGGGAACAACACGATCTCAAAACTCCAGCTGAATAATGTTGTCAGTTCGCACAGTTGGCTGAATTGCCACTAGAGTGTGAAGCTAAGATTAACATTTAAGATTTTAAACTGTGGGGACCTGGGAGATGGCTCAGTGAAAAAGAGCACTTGCTTGGCAAGTGTGGGTACCTGAGTTCGAATGCCTAGCACCCACTTAAAAAAGTCAGGCATGGCGAGCTTCTGGCTCAGAGACAGACGCTGTCTGAAGGCAAGAAGGTGGCGAGCCAGCGAGGCGATACCAGACACCCTGCTTTGGCCTCTGTATGTGTGTATACGGGCATATGCACTGACACACTCACATGAGTGCAACACACACGTACACACCACAGATTAAAGTTGCACCTACTTTAAGAAAATTAAAAAAAAAAAAGAACCATCCACCTCAGTGTCTGCGCTTCATTTGAGCTTTGTGCCCTCAGTTAGGCAAATGACCCCAAATGCTGGGTCACCAGTTCCATCAGAGAGAAGGAGGGTCTGTGGGCTTACCACAGTGGCTGTTATACATGGAAGGGTTTCCAGGGGTGGCAAGCACTTGCTCAGCCTTACTGCAGGGCCTTGGCCCAAGGATGCTGATGTAGGAGCAGTGGGTGGAGGCCTCCAAGACACTGCATGTCTAACCAGTCCCCAGTGCTGCTGTTGGTCCAGAAGCATTCTGTGAGTTGGTTGCTCTGGGAACTCTAGAGCCCCATCTGGCTAGATGACTCAATTTTTCCTAGAGTGGATGTGATGGAACAAGGTTGTCCTGCAGAGACAGTAAAGCCCTCCTGTTGAAATTTGAAGAGGACACATTGTGTCGCCAGCTCTTGACCTTTCCTGAGAGTGCACAGGCACACTGGGCTGACTCATATAGTTTAAAGACGCATCTCAATTACAAGATGTGGTCTAGACAGCTGCCCTTATGGGGACAGAGCTTGCCACTAAACTCTGAGCAATTACTTAAAATTAGACTTGTCAAATTTGTTTAGGGCGGCCAGGCAAGTACCTACATTGACCCAATGTCAGTCTTCCTGGAGAGATGCTCTAATGATTTTGTATATCAGTCAGACTATTTAAATACTAATGCTGCCTTCATGCCATGATCAACATTCTAGTCAGATGTCACTTTTAGAAGCCTTTGGGGAATTTGCATGCCTTAATTATTCTTCAATATCCAAGCCAAGCATTCTTTAATTGGTGTAAATTGAACAGTGTTCTAATGCAGACAAGAAGAGGACACAGTGATCAATGATTCTGGGCATGTCTATTGGAAAGTCATTGCCATTAGACCAGCTAACAAATCCTTCATCCCTTTGCTTCAGAAGAAACACCAGTTCATGACACTGAGGGGCGCTTTTACTCAGTCACTGGGGCTTCCAAGCATGGAGTGAGGGGTCATCCCAAAATTCCAGTATTTGAGGAAAGTTTAAAAGAGTGGAAGAGATGCTTTGTTTTCATGTCAGAAATTTCATAACACCCTTTTATGAGAATTTAACCAGAAACAAAATGTTTCTGCCTTGGGCTATTCTCTCTCTCTCGGCTGGGAACAATATAAAATTTTTGTTAACTTGTCAGGCCATTCTTTCCTGTGATTTATTTATTTATTTTTTTGAGGGGAGCAGTTCTAATAGTGTGAAACCCTCCCAGTCACACACCTAAGAGTGGTGGCATTCTCTGATACTTCTAAAATGATTGGGAAAAACCCAACCAAGGCTTAATCCTTAAGCAGCCTCAGAAAACTCCTCACTCACATGGATGCTGGCTTTTTACTCTTTCTATCAACTCCCTCAAACTGATTATTTTTTTACTGAGGTAAGAAGAAAAGGAAATAAGTGGCCCATCACATACTCCTGGCCCCAGTTCTGCTAGGCTGGATCCAAGAAACTGTTACTTAAGGTAGAGCAGGCACCTAGAATAAAAATTGTTTTAATCTCTGGTTTGTGATAAAATATGCTGATTTGGGGGACAGTCAGTGATTCAAGTGTGTAAAACCACACTTGGTTAAGAACACACATGTTTAAGATGGGAAGTTAAAGGATACACACACACACACACACACACACACACACACAGATTCAATTATGAATGGCTTTTAGAAATGACTAGCTCCTATCATTTGAGCCTGCAGAGATATGGTGTGTACAATCTCTCTTTTCTAGTTATTTTTCTGTTACAGATGCTGCTACCCAGCCTTCCTTAGCCTTCTGGAGCCTTCTGAGGTCTGCAGGGATATTTGCATGAAGCAGGTACATTCAGATGGATGGCAATGGCTCTGATCTTTAATATCACACTATCTCCCTGGCCTTCAAGTTCATAACGGGAGGAATGAGAGAGATGAACAGAGTGGCTCTAAGATGTCAGAGAGATCTAATAGCCAAAGTTACGTCCTCTCTCACCAATTGTCATTGAGAAGGTGAGGCAGACAGTGTCCCCCACACCCTGTTCTGTGTTGTTCCTGCTGATACTCACCCACAAAATGATCATCTCAGTCCCATGTGTCTAAACAGCCCTGGAGCTTGTCATCACGTACACCATGGCCCCCTCTCTCTGGGCAGGTCACAGATCTCAGGCTTATAGGAAGGTGAGAAAGCCTCGGACTTCGAGTAAAGTGAGATTCTAGGTTGGTCTCTTTTGCTCACTGAGGCTGGAGCCCAGCCTGACTCAGGCAGCACAGCTCTGCTGTGTTTGAAGGAGTCAAGGTTACTGTTATTGAAGAAAGAGTAGCAATCACCACGTATCCCATGGTTAGCTCTCACTCATTTCCTCTCCCCTGCGGACACCCAAATGGGGAGCTTCTGGAAGTATCTGGCCCTTGTGCAATGCCACAGGGCTCTGGGTTTTGGAAGGTTATTAAGTCAGAGACTTAGGGAGTCACAGGGTAGGTGGTTTGTCCTGCTTCCTCTGGCCCTAGGTGGTAGCTCCTATGCCCTCCCAGGAACACAGGCTGTCCAGGTTGAGATCCTCTGTGCCCCCGCCCCCTCCACTCTAAGCCTCTCATTAATGTCCATTTCAACTGACAAAATATTTTGGACAAGTGCCGGTTCGAGCCCTTACCACTTGACTGGCAAAAACCTGCAAGCTTGGTGGTAGAGCTCCACGCATGGCTCTTACCTGGCGTGGACTCAGGGAGTGGACGGCAGCCAGGCAAATGCTCTGAACTGGGCAGCTAGCAATGTTAGCCACAGGGAGAGGGAGAGGCATTTTAATTTAACAGTATACCCACGGCAAATCAACCACTCTCCAGTGGAATGCCACACATCCAAGAATATTTGGGCAGTACAAATTGATCTTGAAGGATTGAGAACAAACAAACAAAAAAAGACACAAAGTTGGGTAGGTAGGGAAGGAAAGGGAAATCAGGGAAGAGTTAGGCGAGTGGGTAGATATGATCAAATGCTTTGTGGGTGAATAATTATGAAATGCAAAATTTCAAAGAACCAATGCAAATGTTTTTTTGTTTTTGTTGTTGTTTTTGTTTTAAAAGAGAAGAAATATCCTCCCAGCCTTTCATAGGAGGGTGTTTTTTGGAAGATACCTTATGCAGTATGACCTTGAGGTTTGACCTGGCTGTACTTCGGAGCTCAGAGGCTGTGCCTTAAAACATCTTTTCCACTACTCACTCTTGCTGTGTGAACAGAGTCCTTCTTGTTCTCTCTGGCCCCTCTTCCCCTCCTCCCTCTCAGAAATGCTTGTTGTTTCTGCTAAATATTTTTAATGTGGGGCTCCCCAGTCCTTACTAATAAGAATAACGTAGTTCCCTGTCAGCTCCCGACACCCCACACGAAACCCAAGTCCTCCTGCTTGGAGCTACACAGCCTGGCAGTATGGAGCACTCCTGTCTTTTTTGCTGAGTCAGCAGGGCTAGGTCCTGAATCAGCTTTCGTTAAACTCTTCTCTTCCTCTTTTCCACTTTCCTGTAAAAAGGCTCCGGACAATTTTGATTTCAAGGATGTGTGGGGGTACAGTGCTTAGTTCGGGATGCTTGGCTTGGGAGCCCTTAGGGACACCCAGGAAGCTTTTCAAGTCCTGGTATGTCCGGGCTACATCTAGGCTTGGGGCGGCTACTCCAGTGCCTACTGAATACACCGTAGGACCCTGTGTGCAGACAGGGTTAGACTCCAGATGCTTTCCAGCCGACTGTGTTACCTGAGGAAGAAGCCTCTAGCTAGTGACTCCCTACCTTGGCTGCTCAGTAGCGTTAAGGTTACATTGATTGTGGTAGTTTGGCTAACTCTCCCCTTGAGAGCCATGTGTTACAACTGGTACCCAGTGTAATACTACTGAGAGACAGCAGGACCTTGTGAGTGGTCCCTTGGTCTTTGGAGCCAGGTCCTTGAAGTGAATTTTGGGATCACAATCCTTCCCTTTCTTTCTTCACACTCAACTGCAAGTTGAATGACTTCCCCTTACTCTGTGTGGTACACAAACCACAAACTACTAAACTATAAGATCACCCCAACCTCCAAATTTTCCTTCTTAAGGTTGGTGTTTTAGTTATGGGCTCTACTGCTGCTAGGAGACACCATGACCACAGCACTTCGTTTTATTTATTTATTTATTTTTTTTAAGAGACAGAGTTTCTCTGTATTGCTTTGGAGCCTGTCCTGGATCTCACTCTGTAGACCAGGCTGGCTTCAGACTCTACAGATATCTGGCTGCCTCTGCCTCCCGAATGCTGGGATTAAAGGTGTGCACCACCAATGCCTGGCTTACCACAGCACTCTTAGGAAGACATTTCATTGTTTTGGCTTGCTTAGAGTTCAGAGGTTTTAGTCCATGCGGTGTGCAGGCGGACATGGTGCTGGAGAGGTAGCTGAGAGTTCTATATCTTGCAGGCAACAGGAAGTGAACTGTGACACTTGGTGGGCTTGAGCATATAATGACACCTCAAAGCCCACTTCCATAGTGACACATTCCCTCCAATAAGGCCAAACCCACTCCAACAAAACCACATTTCTTAATAGTGCCACTACCCATGAGATTATGGGGCTAATTACATTCAGCCTACCACAACTGGTCACTTTTGGTATTTTGTTACTGTAACACAGTGTGGACTGCACATACCAGTGAAGTCAGAAATCTAGAAGAGGGAGCCTGGCACTGGGCTTTTCAATAAGCATTTCAGGTCAGTCCCCTGTACAGTGGAGCTTGGGAGGCAGACTGCTGTGACCTTGGCCAGTTTTCACGGCTCTTGTAAGGGTCAGTGTCCTTACTATGGCAAAGTTGGGAGGTGGTGGAGCCCTTAAGGGTGTGGCCTAATAGGGTGTGTGCTGGCTAGTTTAATGTCAGCTTCAGAAGAGGAAACCTCAATTGAGAAAACTCTCCCACCAGATTAGCCTTCGAGAAAGTCTGCAGTGCGTTTTCTTGATTGAATTAATGTGGGAGGATGCAGCTCATTATGGGCAATGCCGCTCTTGAACAGGTGGTTCTGTGCTATACAAGAAAGCAGGCTGAGCAAGCCATGAAGAGCAATTCAGCAAGCAGAACCCCAATATGACCTCAGCATGTCTTCCTGGCTCCAAGGTCCTACCTTGAGTTCACATCCATACTCCGTCGCACGGTGGACTACAAGCTGTAAGATGAAATAAACCCTTTTCTCCCCAAGTTGGTTTTGGTCATAGTGTTTTAGATCTTTAGAGAGATTAATTTTAGTGGGGGCTGTTGTCTCTTACAAAGAGGTTGCTATTAAAGTACAAGTGGCAGCTCCCCATCATCTGGCTTGTCCTGGCATTTTCTCCTTCTGAATACGTTTCTAACCTCGACCATCCCCCATGAGGTGACCAGCAGGAAGGACCCTCTCCAGGATGGGCACAGCGATGCCTGGTCTCCTGTTCTTACAAACTGTGAGCTCAGGAAACCCACTTTTATTTCACTTGTTTTGTTTTTTGAGTCAGGGTTTCTCTGCCCAACCTTGGCTCCCCTGGAACTCACTGCTCACAGAGATCCCCCGCTGCCTCTGTCTCCCCAGTGCTGGGATTAAATGCGTGTGCCACCATCACCACCTGGCCGATTTTTATTTTCTAAAAGTTTAATCAGCATACAAAATTTTAGGGTTCATTAAGTCATATTTGATTCTTCCCCTGCTCGCCCCCCACCCTCTGTCCCCTTTTACATATTTGCCCAGTCTCTTTATCTACTTTCAGGCCACCGGTATCCTTTTGTCTCCTCCAGTCCCTTCATTAACCTCTCACTTCCTCTCTCATGGTCTTTTCTTTTTCTCCTTGTCTCATATTCTAAACCTACACTCACACCCACATACATATAAATATTGTAAGCTAGACTCTGCATATGAAAGACACCATGTCAATTCCTTCCTATCCAAGATGGAGTCACAGCACTTAATGATATAATAGTTTCAGAGTTTATCCCCTCATTTTTCTTTATAGCTGAATAAAATTCCATTGTATACAGGTACCATATTATCGAGTCATCTGCTGATGGGTATCTAGGCTGGTTCCAATTCTTCGTTATTTATGAATAGAACACCAATGGACATGGGTATACAGCTACTTTTTGTGGTAGAGTATAGAGTTCTTTGGTATTTGCCCTTAAGTTGTATAGCTATACCTACCTATAGTTACTTCTATTTTTAATATTATGAGAAACATTCATTCTGATTTCCACAATTTTTGTGTTATCATTTTACCCTCCCACCAACTGTGAGAGTGGAACATCCTTGAAAGTGTTTGTTGCCAATTTTCTTGATAACAGTCTTTCTGACTAGGAAAATATAGAATGTCAAAGTCTTTTTAATTTGTGCTTCTTTGGCAGCTAAGGGTGTTGGACACTCGTAAAAATACTATTGGCTCTTTATTCTCTCTCTCTCTCTCTCTCTCTCTCTCTCTCTCTCTCTCTCTCTCTCTCTCTCTCTCCCTCCAGTCTCTTTTGAAACATTGTTTCACTACATAGCTCTGGATAGTCTATAAATCACTTAGTAGGACAAGATGGTCTCAAACTCAAAATATCTGCCTGCTTTTGCTCCCGAGATTAAAGGTGTGTGCCACCAAGTCAACGTTTCTCATTTGGAGAACTGTTTATTCATCTCAGTATTTCAATAACCCATTGGCTTTTTTGTGCTCAATTTTGTTGGAATTTATAAATTCTGGATGTTAGCTGCTGGTCTGAAGGTTTTCTCCCATTTTGTGGTCTGTCTGAGCTGCTGAGAGTGCCCTTTATTGTTTAGAAAGCTTTTCATTTCATGTCAACCCACTGATGAATTCTTTAGGTGTTGTCCTGCTCTGTCAGTGTCTTGTTGGAAAGTTCCTACCATACCTATTTCTTGAAGTGTATCCTACATGCTTTCCTTTAGAAGTTCCAGGAGTTCAGGTTTTAAATTAAGGTCTTTGATTCACTTTGGATTGATTTTTATGCAGGTTGAGAGGTGTGGATCTATTTTCATTCTTGTACAGGTAGATGTTCAGCTTTGCCAGCACCATTTATAGATTAGCTTGGCCTTTTAATTAATTAATTTGTTTTTCTTTTCCACTGGATTATTTCAACACCTTTGTCAAAACGTAGGTATAGCCATAGCTGGATGAAACTTTTTGTGCATTAGGCAGCCTCAGACTGTTTGAGGCCTGGGGACTGCACACTGGGCTTCCCATCCCAGCAGTCCAGCCCACCCAGAGACTGCCAAGGCCCCAGTACTAGTCTCACCTCCACCCACAGGAAGAGGAGAGCCATCTGAGTATCGGACCCGTTTGCACCTACCAGAAGGGAACCTTGGACCCATACACACCAGGAGAGAAAGAGGCTTCTCCTGCACCCACTGGAAGAAGGGATGGGAAGAAGACAATATAAAAACACATTCAACAACAGAAAAACCAATATGTCACCACCAGAGTCTAGGGACTCTACACCAGCAAGACCTGAACATCCCAATGCAGATGAAGCAGAAGAGAATGACCTTAAAAACTTGATGAAAATGATAGAGGATATGAGAAAATCCCTTAAAGAAAAGGAAGACAACACAAACTAAAAAATACAAGAGATCAATAAATCTCTTAAAGAAAGCCAAGAAAAAATATGGAACAGATGAAGGTTCAGGTCTTATGTAGCTTATTCTTGAATCCTTTGAGTAGTTGCTGCACTGTTTTATAAAAGTACCACACTATTTTACAGTCATACTGATGGTCCACAGGCCCCAGTGTCTTAACACCCTTGTTAACACTGGCTCATTACTGCTTTCTTTTTCCTTTATGGGGGTCTTTGTGGGGACTTAGCTGCAGTTTCAATTTGCATGTCTGTGATGATTACTGATGCAAATATCTTTTTCTGTGTTCACTGGTCATCTGTATAGAGAGAACTATCAACTCCAGGTCTTTGCTTGTTTCTCAGTCAGATTGTTAACATTGTCTTTTTAGACATGGCATCCTGTAGCCCAGGTTGACCTCAAATTTATTATGTAGTTGAGGATGACCTTGAACTTCTGATTCATCCACCTCCATAGTGGCATGTGTAGTGTTGGGGACTGAACACAGGGCTTCTGAAGTTCCCCCCAAACACTCTATCATCTGGTCTATACTCCTAGCTGAGTTGTAGCTTTTATGTTCTTGATAATAGCTTCTTACTAATTATCTGACTTGAAGGTCTTTCCCCCCCAGCCATTCTATATATTGTCCCTTTGCTCTGTTGGCCACTTTCTGTGTTGTGCAGAAATTTTTGTATGATATGTTCCCACTTGCCTATTTTTGCTCTTATTGTCTGTAGTTTTGGGGTCATAGCCAACAAATAGCTGCTCAGTTCATTGCCCCTCTTGTGTTTATTCTAGGTCTTTTAATAGTTCTGAGTATTAAGTCTAGTTCTTTTATACATTTTGTGTCACTTTTTTATGTATGAGATGATGAAAGGGTCTGTGTGTGGTTACACGTGGATGCCCACTTTCCTCAGCACCATCTTCGAATGAAGGCATCCCTGTGGTCTTGACAGCTTTGCTGATTATGGTCTCTTCTTGTGTGAATAGAAATTCATTTTCTTCTTTGTTAGGGAATGTCCTTACCCTCACAGGGAGCACTACTCTTTGGCTAGTGTCCTCTGGATTCCACCTACAGAAATCTTGGATCCACTACGGTTCAGTTTCATACCTGGTACTCATTTTTGGGCCTTTCCTTGAAACTCTGCTTTAAAAAAACAACTTTGTGGATCAACTTGCCTTTACTTATTTAAGCTAATTTTTCTTTATAAACACACCAAACAAAGCAAAAATATTCTAAAGCACTTCATTTATTATGCTATGTATCTTCACTATGTAACTTTTATTTTTATTTATGTTTTTACATAGCAAAAGGTCTAATTTGCACTTCTTTAGGACCTTGTAGCTCTGAAAAGGTCATATTTTGATAGGATATCCAAGAAACCTGGTTGTCTCACTGTTATCTTTTAATGTGTGGTCTGCCTTATATATACATGGGTTCTATAACTTTGAATTCAACAGCCAGGTATTAAAAGTTTTTCTGACAGTTTTTCTCAAATGTGGGTAGACATTCCCACATTACTGTCCCCTTGGTAACAGACTTTCAAACCACATTATCTTCTCTTTGGTAACATGTCTTACCCATCATTTGCACAGTGTTTATTTTTACTGAGCATCATAAGTCATCTAGAAATGATTTGAGTATTCAGGAGGATGTATAGGGGCTCTATGCCATGCCATCTTTATGTAAGGTACCTGAGTATGTTTGGGTTTTTATATTTGTAGGGGAGGTGTGGTAGTCCTGACATCATCAACTTCCTCTTGAATGGTGAGAGGTAGCTGAATTGTAATATGTATAGTAAAGACTTCTAACTGTGTCCCCCAATTGATTTTTCCTTCCCATAGTGGAGCTGCCCAGATATTTTGTTCGATTAAGTGAGAGCATGAAGATGGGCAGAGTGAACGTGGAAGAAAATGCTGTACTACGCTGTACTCCAAAGAGCAGCAGATGCATCTCCTCCTTGCTTCCTTCTATACCTGGTAACAATCTCCTAGACAGTTGATCACTCAAGGAATAATCCTCATATCAGAGCCATTGGTATAGGATACTTCTTGTCAGACATGTACAATCTCAGCTCCCATGCAGACCTTATGATTAATTTTTTGCTTTTTTTAAAACAATACTCACCTTAAAATTTGAAATAGCTAGCCAAAGATGACGTTAGAGTCAGCTCTCCAATGGAAAGGTTTGGGTTCCTGAACAACTACGTAAAAAAACTGCTCCTCCAACTTGAGTGCTTGGGCAGTACTGTTAGATTAATGAGAACTAAATTCTTTGTGTGGGATCTCTTGAAACCTAGGGGTGTTTGTTACTCAGCCAAGCCTTGACTCATACATGATGGCATTTACTTGCATATTTGTTTAATTTTTTGTGGTGCTTATAAAAAAGAGGCTGCACATGAGTGATGGCTGTTCTTGGTTGTCAGCTTGACTATTTCTAGAATGAACCACAATCCAGAAATGGAGGCCACACTTGTGATTCAGATCTTGAGATTGGAAGACATAGTCTTTTGATCTGGATCTTGAGGTTGGGAGACATACTTTTTAGATCTGGCACACCTTTAATCTGGGCTACAGCTGCTGAAAGCCTGTATAAGGACAATGGAAGACGCAGGGTCCTTTCATTCTTCTTCTTGCCCCCGATTTGCCAGCTCATCCATTCCCTGGTATTGGAGCCTGCTTCTTTGGGATCCTAAAATATATAGAAGACCAGCTGGAGTACCTAGCCTCATGGGACTAAGCAACTACTAGACTCTTGGACTTTTCATTCACAGATAGCTACTGTTGAATTAGTTGAACTGTAGTGTGTAAGTCATTCCAATAACTTCCCTATTTATAAATACATATATATGTATATTCACTCCATATATTCCTGACTCTAGAGAATCCTGACCAACACAACATGATAGGGAAGCAGGGATCTCAACTAAAAAATTGCTGTAGTCAGCTGTCCTGTGGGCCATTTTTCTTGATTGCTAGTTAATGTAGGAGGGCGCATCCTATCGTGGGTAGTGCTAACCCTGGCCAGGCAGCTGAAAATGAGACTGGTGTAAGCCTCTAAACAGCATTCCTCTGTGGTTTCTGCTTTAAGCTCCTGCCTTGAGTTCCTGCCCTGACTTCCCTCAATGATGTGTCGCCACCTCTAAGATTAAATAAATCATTTCCTCCCTAAGTTGCTTTTGGTTGGTATTCTTGTTACAACAATGGAGAAGCAATTGAGAATTGTAGGCTAGTGATGCAGCCCTTAGCTAGTCCTCTTTTGCATGTAGCCATATCTATTCCTGCTTTTCTGTGAAGTGGCTTCTTGAATCTTTTTTTTTTCCTGAGCAGGCTACATTTTCCCATAAGACAAAAAATAATATAACATGGTCACATCATCAAATGCAAGAAACTATTTTTATTCTATCTCATGCATCCTATAAATCAGGACTGGCAAAGTGTGGTTTATGGGCCAAATCCAGCCCTTGGCTAATGTTTTTATTTTTATTTTTAAAGTTAAAGTGATTTTCTTTCTTTTTAAACAATTATTAATTTTTTATGTGAATGGGTAACTTGCCTGCATGTATGTCTGTGTACCATGGGCATGCAAGATCTACTGAGGTCAGAAAAGGGTGCTGAATGGATCCCTTGGAACTGGAATTAGAGACAGTTGTAGGCTTCCATGTGGGTGCTGGTAATCAAACCCGAGCCCTCTGGAAGAGTAGCCAGTGCTCTTAACTGATGAGCCATCTCTCCAGTGCTAAGGTGATTTCCAGTGAATATAAAATAAACAATTTAGAACATGGGAATCACCAATGTTTGTTACATTCAAAATGGCATGCAATTTGTTAGTCCCTGGGTCTTTAAATTATCCCAGAAAAGAAATTTATTTATAAAATAGTTATATCCTTTTTCCATCTCTTGGATAACATTAATCTGCTATATGCCTATTGGAGTGACCTCTGGGGTTTTTCTACTTCATGTGATGTTTCCAAGTGTGTCTCAGTCGTTCGTTTCTTTTTACATCAAAGTAATATCTCATTGTATTTGCCCTTGCTTTTATAAATGAGGTTTTCTTGAATATGACCATACTCGTTATTTTATACTCGTTAGGCAATTAATTCACGTTATTGGCAGACTTTTTTGGTGGTTATGACACACAGAAAAAAATGCAGCTTACAAATGCCAAGATATTCACTGTCTGGTCTTTTACAGAAAGTATTTGTTAATTCTTGTCATTGAAACCATTTACGTGGAATGTTACTGTCAATACTGGACATAGAAATTCTGGTCTCAGTAGATTTGATTTTTTAAAAATCGTGACACGATTTTAAGGTTCATCTCAACTAATAAATATAAAAGAAAGATCACCCAGACTTGCCCTGTGGGGTGGAACAGCGTGCCATGGGGCTACAGTGGGAGAAGCTAGTGGTGCTGGTGTAGCAATAGACAGGCTACGGATGTGACCGGGAAAATGAGAAGGGAAGGAAATGCAGCCAAGGACTTCAAGAAAGGAGTTCTCAGTGGAATGCTGACACCAGCCACACAGGAGAAATGAAGCAGGATCTCCTTCTATTTGAAAGTAAATTCCAGAAGAATGTAAAGATGCTTGAAGGAAGCTGGGAATATGTCAGTGTAAAATATTGTATGGAAAATCTTGCAGTAGATTTTTTTTCATTGATTAACTTCATTGTTCTCTTTGTTTCTATTTTATGTTTTCCTTTTTAAAATTTAAATTAGAAACAAGCTTGTTTTACATGTCAATCCCATTTCCCTCTCCCTTCCTTCCTCCCCTGCCTCCCTATTCCATCCCCTTTCTGCTCCCCAGGGAGGGTGAGGCCTTCCATGGGGGATCTTCAAAGTCTGTCATGTCATTTGGATCAAGGCCTAGACCCTCCCTGGTGTGTCTAAGTTCTATGGAAAACAGAGAACATAAGGCAAAAACTTAACTGGTGGCTAACTGTATTGGCTGGTTTTATGTCAACTTGACACAAGCTAGAGTCATCAGAGAGGAAGGAGCCTCAGTTGAGGAAATGCCTCCTTAAGATTCAGCTAAAAGGCATTTTCTGGATTAGTGATCATGGGAGAGGGCCCAGCTCATTGTGAGTGGTGCCAGCCCTGGGCTGGTGATCCTGGGGTCTATAAAAAAGCAGACTGAACAAGTCATGGAGAGCAAGCCAGTAAGCAGCACCCCTCCATGGCTTCTGCATCAACTCCTACCTCCAGGTTCCTGCCCTGTTTGAGTTCCTGTCCTGACTTCCTTTGGTGACCAACACAACATGGAAGTGTAATCTTAATAAACCCTTTCCTCCCTAATGTGCTTTTTAGTCATGGTATTTCATAGCAGCAATAGAAACCAGAAGACACTAGCATTCAATAAAATGGCCTTTCATGTGGAAAATTCTATCTGCAACACTCAAAAGATTGAATAAAACCTGGGGAGCTAATGTCTTCAACAGTAAAAATAATTCTTACAAACGAATATGAATCTAAACAGTTTGGTGGAGGTCATTGGTTAATGCATAAGCTGTGGACTGCACAGTGAATGCCAGTGTCCACAAACATATTCTGGTGGATGAAAACATTACAGATTATCCCTGTAAAAGGCCATGTGAATTTAAACACCAGATCTTCTTTGTTGTTCACTGACAGAATGATAAACACTTAGGATCCTTGGGGTGACTATGTAGGGGAAGGACTTCTTTCAGATGTTCAATTCAGTGGTTTTGAAGAAAAATGCAATTTCAGGTCATATTCTGAAACACACATGGGTTTTGACCCCACATCTGCATCTTGGATCTTGGACTTGCAGAATCTACATTAAAGATGTTCCTTGCTGCACTGGAAATCTGGACACTCTCTCAAAGCTCACCAGTAAGTCTCATCAAATAAATGGTGGCATATTCAGGTTTTGGATCTCTAGGAAGCCCCTGCAAACAAGTTTGAAATGTGCACAATGATGCCCCTGTGAGTCCCTCCTTCCTTTCTCTTCACCAGGCTTGCTATTATTCTTGTCATTCTCTTCTATTTAGGGACACTTTTTTTTGAGGTGGGAGGATTAGTCACTCTAATGAGGTGATGAAGATTAGGAGATTTGGCAACTACATGGACCAGACTCTGCAACTACCCGGTCCAGACCCAGGGTTATGGGTTGACCTACCCCAACATTCACCCCATCTGTGTTCTGCTAGAGCATGGGGTGGGGGAAAGGGAGGTGAGGGGTGGGGGTATCAATCCTGTGGACCCAAGGCTGCAGGATCTCCATGACACAGGGCATCAGTAGGATACACAGGAAGAGTCCCAGTGAGGGCCCAGCATCTGTGGTGCAGCAGAGACCAGGGGCCTCGAATTAGATCAAAGATTCTTTTTGATAAATGCCTGCATGTAAAAATATACGGACAAAAGGGTTTACTGTGTGACTCACTGTGTCATACTGCAGCTTCCATGATGAGATTGTCCTCTTCTTTCTCTTCCCTTTTTTCTCTTAAATTTTATTTTGGGGTAGGGTGGGAGATAGGTGGAGATGGAAGGCATGTTTCGAAAGACACAAAGAATTAAAAAAAAAAGAAAAGAACCGGGCCTTGATGGGAAGAAACCCAACATGGCGCCCGGTGGAAAAAAGCACAGAGCACGAACAACCTCCTTTCTCATATTTGCGATACCTGTGTTCTCACTCCTCTGGAGAGACGAAGGGGTGACATGGGTATGACATTAGAACAGAGTCTGCCAAGTGTCACTGTCACTTATGTATCTCAGTGACAGCAAAGAGAATGACTGCCTGTAAGGAGAAACTGATGTGAAGCCTTCAACTGGGGTGGGGGCGGGGGGCATGAAGACTAGTCAAAAAAAAACTTCATGTCTTTCAGTTTGAAAATTTTCTGGTTCAGTAAAATGACAATTGGATTTTGTTCCACTTTTTTTTTTAAATCTAAAGTATTTTTCCCTCATTACTGATGGAGTGTTGTAGGTAAGTGTCTGAAAAACGTACTGTATGTGTGAACTAGTTGAAACTTTCTCCCCATGCTGTAAAGACTCTGTACACGTAATTCAGATCTGGGCCTACATGGGATTTCTTACAAGAAACACAGAAATCAACTACCCGGCAGAACGAGTTCTATTTCAGTCATGTCTGAATTCTGCTTTTGGCTAGAGCTGACACCAACTTGAGTGCTGACATCGAAGCCCTGGTTAGCAGGTGGCGGATGACATGATGTAGATGCTGCCTATGGAAGCTGTGCACTTCCTCAAGCCTAGGATAGGAAAAAACAGAGGACCCCAAATTCCCATCTTTCCTGAGACTGCTATGCTAACAGGCCCAGTGTGAATCTGCCAAGGCCCTGTGTTTGGCTCAGACAAGGTGGTCAGAGAGCCTGTATCTCCTGCGCTTGTCTCCAGCCGTGGTTGTCTGGATCTTTGCTGGGCCTCTAGTTCCACAGCCCAGCATCAGGACTACTAAGTTTTCACTCATACTTTTGGCCTTGCGGTTAAAACAAGCAAGCAAACAAACAAATAAACAAACAAGCAGGAATTCCTGGGGAACAGCTCTTACAAGCATTTTAGCTTAGCTGTTCCCCTCCTAAAGTATTTTGGGGCAGATAAGCCCACACAAGTGTCTTGTTTGATTTCACACAGGTCCAGGGTCTTCGGTGTCAACTGTGTATGCTGTGGTATGGCCACTCTGATCCATCCGGGAAGAAAAGGTGAGTTTCTAACTGGCAGGAGCAACAAAATTGTACCATGTGACACAAAACGGAAGAACTGCTTATCTCGGGGTGATTAGGTAATGTAGTATGCATAATGCACTAAGCCTCATGTAATAAAGCTACACTATCCCTGTATTGGCTTTCTGTCCCCATGATTACATACCAGCATACCACGGACTGTGTGTTGTGTGATGGCTGCATACTGTACTTCTGTTCTTTAAGTAATGCAGTGTAGCAGCCATTTATATAGTAGCCAAGGACGTGTGCAGATTTACGACGTTCTTGCCATTTTCTATGAGGGACTTGGACATCCTCGGTTTTGGCATCTGTGGGGATTTTGAAACCAGCTTCCGTAGATACCAAACTGTGTGTAATAGGGTCAAATTCATATCAGATGAATTTCTTCAGCTGTCTGAACAATGGAGAACACAAGTGTGAAAAGTCTCATTGTCACTGAAAACTGTGGGGCTCAGAAAGAAAAGACATCTGGAAGAGCTTAAGCCCATATAAAACACCCCTGAAATGGCCCCAAACCCTTCAGCTGGCTTCTTTTCAGAGGTGATGGGGAACATGAGTTACCTGCTGCCTTAGGAAAAATCCATCCACATATTCTCTGGGTAACTAAAGTTGGAACTGATGATAAACTCCCTCATGGTAAGGCTCTCCCAGTCCCTGAGCAGCAAATGCAGCTCAGAAGTTGGTGAAGAGGTCAGAAATGGGGCAGGTGATGTTGGGTTTCTCTCACACTGGGCAAAACCTCCTCTACCTCTCCCCAAACTGAGAGCTGGGCCTCTAGACTGCAGGTGCCAGCCAGTATGTGATTTCTGCCTTCCAGCAGTAAATTTGGTTGGAAACCCCTTTCTTGGAACTCCTGGTAGCAGTCCCTGCAGGGAGGAAGAGAAAATCAGCCTTCATAAACTGTGTGGACTAGACAATGAATAGTCACTATGTAGTCTCTCTCTCTCTCTCTCTCTCTCTCTCTCTCTCTCTCTCTCTCTCTCTCTCTCTCTCTCTGTGTCTCCCTGTTCAAAAATCCTTGTCATCAGGGCTGAGTCTGTCTCCACATGCGAGGAATTCACAATTAGATGGAAATATCCTGCTACCACTTACTGATGACCTCAACCTGCAGCCGGCAGAAGGCAGAGACTAGATTCTGCACATGTGCTCCATCTAATTGTGCGTGTGTGTTTTCTCTAATAAAACAGAAAAGTCCAGGAAACAATGGCACAATCCCCCCCCACCTCTACAGCACCCCCACGTGAAACCCAGACTATATTATTCCCTTTTATTAGCTCTTGATGAATGATATAGTTTCTTACATGGGTGGAAGTAGTGACAAATGGTTTTGGTGCTATATACAAATAAATTTAATAAAAAGGCTGTCTCTTCTATTTGTGTGTGTTTGTATGTGCATTCTCATGTATGAGGGATAATGTGTGTGCACACGCGCACACATGTATGCTGCTGAAGACCTGAGCTAGAGGCTGGGAGGCTTCATCGCTTGATGCTCATCTTATATACGGAAGCAGAAGCACAGCATTTGTGTGCTGACTATCCAGCTCCAGGGAATCCCCCCTTGTCTTTTATGTGGGTGCTGGGGATCCAAACTCAGGTCCTCATGCTTGTGCAATGAGAGCTTTCCCTGAGGAGCCATCTCTCTAGCACCATTATCTCTTGGTGCTGGAGATTGACTTTAGGACTGTGCTTATGAGGAAGTTACTGCTGTTTACCACTCCATTTCCCCCTCTTCCCCTCCTCCCCCACTTTCCATCCATCCTTGTCTCCTGTGGGTCCAGGCCAGCCTCCCTGGACTCTACCCTATGGAAGAATGCTGGTGTTATAGGCGTCCACCACCATTCTTATTTAAAACAAACAAAAACAAACAAAAAACTCCAAATCTATTATCATCCAGTAGAGAGCTGTGTGAAAACTCAAGCAACCCTGATCTGAATGCTGGTTTCCTGTCACATACTTTGACAATAGGACAAAGTCATAGCTACAGGTGACTTGTGTGGCTGGTGATTAGCTTAGTTTCATTCTGCTGTTGGGATAAAATATTGACCTAATGCATCCTGGGGAAGAAAGTGTTTGTTATGCTTCCAGATGACAATTCATCATCAAGGGAAGTCAGTGTGGACATCCAAATCAGGGACCTGGAGGAAGGACATAAGATGAATGTTGCTTGCTGGATTTCTCTTTTTGTTAATTAATCCTTATCTCATTATAAGATTATAATGATTATGTTACATCCTTATCACAGTTTCCCCTGCTAGCTCACTCCACCCCCAACTCACCCCATCCACTCCTCCTTCCCCTTCAGAAAGGGGCAGGCCTCCCAGGCATATCACACAAACATGGCGTATCAAGTTGCAATAAGACTAGGCACTTCTTCTCTATGAAGGCTGGAGTAGGCAGCCCAGTAGGAAGAAAAGTGTCCCAGTCTTTGGATTTCTTACAGGCTCATGCTTAGGTAGCCTTCATGTGTGTCCCTGAACCACTTCCCCAGGAAACAACTTAACCCACAGTGGATGTAACCCTCCTACACCAAGTCACAATCAAGACAAATTCTTCACACTCAGGTGACAAAGGCAACTGCTCAATTAAAACCATTTTCAGTTGATTCCAGGTTGTGTCACAGTGACAGTTAGTGCTAAGAGAGTGGCCGAGGCTTTCATTAGGACTGGTGGGTGGAGACTTGGCAGTGTTCCTAAGCCAAGTTACACATTAGTGGAGAAGCACCGGGCTTTCAAAAGAAGGGACACCCCAGTCTTCTGTTCTTCTTAGATGAACTGAGAAGGTGAAAATTCTTCATCCGGGGTGAAAGACAGCTCCAGTTTGAATCACCAGCCTGATCCCTAGTTGCTGCCTCTCCATTCATGATCCATACTCCAGGATGTACCTTGGCATGCTCTGCTTGTCTGGGTAGCTTGTACCCAGCCGATATACTGAGTATCCCTGTGTGTATTCCCTTGTAGGACACTGAGTTCTATCCTGAACTCTGCCTTGGCACCTCTCTTCCCATTAATCCACTTTACAGCAATTCCCTATGCTGAAGAAGATGTCTCTTTTTGGATTTGCATTTCTTCTCTAAAATATTACTTCCCTGATATTAACAGCTACAGACACAAACAGCATGCTACCCTACACTGCATCTTTCCCAGTTGGTGGAGATCCTGCCTTCATAGGGATTGCTTTCTTTCTTTCTTTCTTTCTTTCTTTCTTTCTTTCTTTCTTTCTTTCTTTCTTTCTGCCCCTCCCTCCCTCCCTCCTTTCTTCCTTCCTTCCTTCCTCCCTTCCTTTGCCCTTTGGTTTTTCAAGACAGGGTCTCTCTGTGTAACCCTGGCTGTCCTGGAACTCACTCTGTAGACCAGGCTGGCCTTGAACTCACAGAGATCTGCCTGCCTCTTCTTCCTGAATGCTGGGATTAAAGGCGTGCACCACCACTGCCACCTGGTTGGGGATTGCATTCTAAGAAAGCAGATATGGCCAAATAGTGTTATGACAAAGTACAATGGAGGTCTTCTAGCCTGACTTTCCCTGTAGACTGTGTATAGACTTGTACAGCATAAACCAGATGTAGAAAAGAGTACCGGTTCACACAGGTGTTAGCCAATGGCTGGCAAACCAGCCATGAAGAGAATGTTTACTGGACTCTGAACTGTGTTCCCAATTCTCAGCACTTAAGGAGGCAAAAGACAGGAAAGACAGTTTTACTCATCTTTATGGTTGGAAGGCTTCTCAAAGACTATTTCTGCAACATTTCCAGAGATAACTAGGAGCTTCCATGATGACTAATAAATGAACAGTTCTTATAGACAGGCCTGAGGTCTTACACTTTCTGAGGAGTAGATGAGGGTGGGTTGGGGAGAGGTGGGGGACAGGGAGGAGGGAAGGGAGGGGGAGCTGTATTTGGTTTGTAAAGTGAATAAAAAAATAAAATATTAACAAAACCTACCTTCCTGGCATCCAGTCGTCATTACGATAGCATGAACCAGATGATGGCTCTGAACTTCAGAGTTTTATTTCTATTAAATTCTGTGGCATATGATCTCGAACAAACATTTGTTGTCAATATTTGACAAAAAGTCTGATTCAATCAAGTAAATAAAGCATTAGAAAAAACAATTTCATTCCTTTGCTTAACTAAATCCATTAAGACTCTAACAGAAGTAGGAGTGAGGACAGAGGGTATCCAAGACAAAACAGGGAGACCCATTGCACATTTGCATTTCAAAATTAATTCCTGCCCTAATTATTCATCAGTAGAGCATAAATTAAATAAATACAACTTAGAGCCAGCCTTGGGACACCCACAGGATTCTCCTCTCCAGGGTTAATTGTCATCATGCCGCATTGGGACTCTCTGCTTTTGCTGCATTTCTAGAACCGAAGAAAGCTAGAAGCTGAAGCTAGAGCCGCGTGGAAATGAAGCAGACTCAAGGGGAAGGGTTGCACCCAGGTGGGGCGTTGACGTTACCTGTGTTAGGGTTTGGATCTCAAATGGCCTCCAGGGACTCGTGCTTAAAATGCTGTTCCCCAGTTGGTGGGTGAAGTGGTTTCAGGAACTGTGGACCTTTTAGGACATGGGTTCTGTTACTAGCAGGAGGTCTCTGAGAATTCAGCCTGACCCTTGCCCTTCTCAGACTTAAGTTACCCCACCAAGCTGTCCTCACTGGGATGGTTTCCTGTACCTGTGAGCCCAACTATTTTTTTTTCTTTCTGTTTTTTTTTTCCTCCGTCAGACATTTTGGTCCCAGCAATGAAAAGGTGATGAATACAGCCTGTGTGAGGCAGGAAGGTCCCTGGAAAGTGTGGGGACCCAAGAATTGTCTAGAAAGTCTTACTAAAGCTACACCTCTACTCATGTTACTTGTGACTACAAGGCTCCAAAATGGAACCAGAAAAGCAGCAAATGTAGTTCTGGATGATGGTATTTACCCACCCTTCTGTAAATAACAATAGGTTGAATTGCGCATTTGTCTCCGTCAGTTTAGGATGCTATAAATATACCATAGAACAGAAAGTTCACACAGCAATCTGTTTCTCAAGGTTCTGCAGGCTGAGCAGTCCAAGACCAAGGGGCAGTTTGATCAAAGTTCCTGGCTTGTCAATGGCTGGCTTCCTTTGTCCTTACGTGGTAGGGAGACCAAATCACTTCCTAAACACTCCCCAGAAACTGCCCTGCTGGCAGTTAGGGTTTTAACATGAATTTCAGGGAGCCACATATTCAGTCAACAGCAGCCTCAATCTGTGTCCACGGAACTGCAGGAGGCATTCAGCACAGCTGGAATCATTTCTTTGTCACGTAATCAAGCATACATTGTTGACGATCTCCATCAAAAGCTCACGAAACAACACAATGATACTGAATAACAAACAACCCCAAATCTCAGGGACTTCAATTAAGCATCATCTATGCTCATGCTTCCTGGGCTGCAGGTCAGCTGATGTCTGGCGGATGGAGGCTGGGCTCAGCTAGGCAGCTTCCTTCCCAGGATGCTCTGCAGTGCACATGTTTGGTGTGGACGACTGTTTTCCAAGGCAGGTTTGAGTCAGGTCTGTTTCACCTGCTTCTCATTCTGTAAGATTCATTAGAAGGCATAGAGCTATCTGGTTTATAATTGTGTGTGTGTGTGTGTGTGTGTGTGTGTGTGTGTGTGTGTGTTATATATTTGTACATGCTCCTGTGAGTGGATATTTGTGCCCATGTGTACATGTGAGGCCAGAGGTTGGCATTTTTCTTGACCATTTCCTCTTTTAGTTTTTCTTTTCTAAAAATAAATTCATGTACTTATTTTACATCTCAGCTATAGTTTCCCCTTCCTCCTCTTCTCCCAGTCCCCCCCTCCCAGTTTCCATCCCCTAATCCACTCCTCCTCCTTTTATGTTTGGGAAAAGGCAGGTCTCCCATGAGTATCAACAAAAAAAGGCATACTAAGTTGTAGTAAGACTGAGCACCTCCCCATGTATTAAGGCTGACCCAGTGTGGGCAATAGGGTCCCAGAAGCTAGTAAAAGAATTGGAGAGAGCCCCTGTTCCCACTGTTAGGAGTCCTGAAAGAGGACTGAGCTACACAACTGGAACATATATGCAGAGTACCTAGGTGAGTCCCATGCAGACTCCCTGGTTGTTGGTTCTGTTTCTGGGAGCCCCTATGAGCACACATTAGTTGATTCTATGAGTTTTCTTTTGATGTCCTTGACCCCTCTGGCTCCTACAATCCTTCCTACTTCTCTTCTGCAGGATTCTCTAAACTCAACCTAATGTTGTTTGACTGTGGTTCTGCATCTGTTTCCATCAGTTGCTGGATGAAACCTCTCTGATGACAATTGGGCTAGGCACCAGTCTGGTCACAGGAGATGGCCAGGTCAAGCGAATCTTTTTCTTTTAA